GGAAACTAACGTGTCTTTAATTAACATATACATTTAAAACCTGCATTGAAATCTTTCATACATTAAAACATTTGGTTTTGGTAGTTTGGCTGTACCTGTAATAAATATATTACAAACTTGATATCACATCTGGATTTGAATAAATTCGTGTAAATTGTTTGGTCCTTTAAACACATTTTTCTTTAAGGTTATATATTTAACATTGTAGTACAATCTTTAAACATTGTCCCAAGAAATAACAAAACATATATTGATATATACTATAAATAGCTAATAGTGTTAAAACTTCCCTCCCCCTACATCCTGTCAAGCTTTTCTCAGAATGCCTTTGACGTCTTTACACCCCATTCGCTGTAGGTATAGTGATTAATGTTGTTGTCTTGGAAACATGGTTTACTTATGAAGTTAAATTGGGCTTAAAACTAACTGCATTCAGTAACTGCAAGTACTCTTAAATAATCAACATAAGTATTCACAAATTTGGTGCATTCGAAACGCTTTTCCGGATATATTTTCATCAGCAACGCTCAAACTGGAACATTTGAAAGCCAATGTGTATAAATGATTAAATACTTGAAGAGCAGCATTACCAAAAGGTACCAAGAGAATAGCCAAATCCACTTTGCCTGAGGGAGTTGGAAAAGTGGTTTCTTGATAATTTCTTCTATCAACGGGAAATTTTAGATAGGTATGTTATGAATAATGTCAGCTCTGTCATGTTGATACCACTGGGGACTAGCAGTTTACCAGGAGTGGTATCGACAAAGTACCATTACTACCAATGTATTTTTCACAGTTACGATGTTCCGTTTTAAGGGAAGTATTGAACGCTCTCAACCATTTTTAACCCTGTCACATTCTGTGTGTGCTTGTGGTATGTCAGGGGCATGTATACCAGTAGGTGTCGTAGATACCTGTCTATCATAATTGTGTTTTTTTTCTTTTGAATTGTTATATTTTGTCATCCCGTGCCTTTACTTAAAACTTAGTTACGATATGAGTTTATTATTAAAGGCTATACGTTAAGCTGCTGTCATGGTTGCTGTTTACATCCTTGTCCTTTGGTCTTTGACGGATAGTTGTCTCCTTGGCAATCATATCACCTATCTTAATTTTCATACTTCATAACCTGGATAATGGCAGACATTTAACTTTGCAAAACTGACCTACCACTCAAAAGATTGTTTGTTTCAACAGTATATTTTCGCACAGAAAGTAGCGAGGTGCTCTCACTACTTCGAGCGTACTCTGGACCATGTGTTGTTTAATGTTATTATACCTTACATTATAATTATTTATTCGATTGGCTAATAAGGAGTCACGTGTCACAGTTTAATTCCGATGTTTTTTTTTCAAAATTGGCAGGACCGGTGAATAACCCTGACAAATCGAAGCCTCCATCGAACAAACTTATCATTTCTCGGTGAATAACCTTTTTAGCCTCTTGGGTTTTGCACGAGTTATATCCCATAAAAATGACGTCATTGACGCCTGTAAACAAAATGGCAACGGCCAGGTGGGAAGCCCATAAAGTAACAAGGAAACAAGATCAAACAAGGCTTGGAAAATCATCTAGTTCCGAGGATATCTCTCGTAAACGGTCCTTTTCAGGGCCATCAATATTTTACAGAAAGAGTCTAGACTAACTTTGTTGAACATACCAGAAATTCTTAGACCCAAAATAATTTTCTAACATAAGTGTTTTGACAATTTTTTTCTCCCGTAAGGCAATTTTTTACACTTAAATGTTTGTTTTGTATTATTAAACAGTTATGGCCCATTGAGTCGGTGAATATCCAAAATTGGCTAAAGCCCTCGTGAAATAACACTTACTCAGTTGATAATTTAGGTATTCACCCCCTCAGTGGGCCATGATTGTATATTGTTTGTCTTTGATTGTCGTTTGTTAAGTATCGAAGGATACGGGTACTGGTAGTTAGTGTTGTCTATTATACTGTCTGAGTTCTGTTATCTTATTTAGTATTAACAATTGACACATAGCCACAACGTGTTGTGCTAAAGCAGTATTAACGGTACTAAAATTATATGGTCATCGCTTAACAAACCAAAGGCGACATACTACATTCATGTTCAATTCCTTTCTATTGCAAATTATTTGGTTAAATATTTTATGTTTTCCTCAAACTTTACAAAGCATATTTCAATGAAATGAAGACATCGTTATCAAGAAACAATATCAGTTACACAGTGATTCGAGTCGGATATATTATGTTTTAAATGAAATGTCGTGAGTATAAAACCCAACAAATTTTATGGCCTTCATAAATATTTAATATTGTTAAATTATAAATTATTTTATTCTAGTGAGACGATTTCATGAAATAATATACAAAAGCAAATTATCTCCTAATTATTTTTTACGACAATAGAAGTTAAATAAAAGAAAAACTATATTTCCGATCTGAAATTATAAAAAGATACATTTTGAATTGTTTTCTCATTTTCTATAATGTTGTTGACAACGGTTAATGAACAACTTCAGAAGCTGTCATTTCAAACTTAACATTATGTAGCGAAAACAAATTACCAATAGCAAAGAAAGGATATGGGTATCCATCCATTACACAAAATCAGTATGTGCACAGCAAAACAAAAAACATATAAAGCAACAGAACAGTGCTTTTATTGCTGTATTCATCTTAAAGTCACAGTGAACCTTAAACACATAGCAAAAATATCCTCTCACCTCAATACAAGTTCAAGACGGCCCAAATCACCAGTTTGAGCAGAATTCTTTGCAAACTGACGATCACGCCACAACTGTGAATTGAAGAACAAAGCCATGGAGTAATATCAATAACATAATTCTGGCAAAGAAATCAAACATGTACTATCATAATTTAAAAAAGTTTTTTTTACGAGAATAAGATATTATTTGTGTTGTTTCGATGCATATATTCAAATTAGCATTTTTGAAAATTAGAAATAATACAAACATTTACCTAATGTATACACAATCGATATGGTAGAAAATAAGAAATATTGAAATTGTTGTTGGAAACCTCAAAAGCAAACAAATGTCTCAATCAAATATCAAAACTCACTTAGCAGGAATACGAAAGTTTTTTTTAGATGTAGTAGATCACTTACATTGTACATTTTTGCATGAAGCAGACTGTTGAATGCTTAATGGGGCATTAGCTTAGAGTTCGACCAATACAGTAATGTATGATTTTATGATTTTTTTATTTTTAGATGTATAAAAGCGGTATTTGAAATAATGTTTCACTATTATTAATCAGTTTGGTTACATTTTGTCAAAATAAGCCCAAGCACATCGCTGATGTATTATTGGCTTGCGCAAGTCAATAATTCAAAGTCATTTAAATCTGTTTGCATGCGACCTTCCATTTTAGCCCATACGCGTATGGTAAGCATATTCAGTTATTTCAAAAAAGGAAATTATGTCAACATTGAAAAGTGAAACAAGAGAGCTACCGAGAAGAACGTAGCATCGTTTGTTGACAACGAGGTCTTCATTTTATCAAAATGTATTTTTTAAAGATTGAGGATAGAAATTAAAACTAGTAATTATTTCAGAACCACTTATTGGGACTTGAGGTCAATTGTTGATAATAAAGAGGATAACAGAAATCAGACAGTACAACAGACACATCACCAACTACCCATACCCGACTCCTTCGGTATTATTATTTGTAATAAACGACAAAAAAGACAAACAAAATCAAGTAACACATGTTTCAGAGTACCCGAAGAAGTGAGAGCGCCTCACTTCTTTCTATGCGAAAATGGACTGATGAAATAACAATCCTTTGAGGGGTAGGTCATTTTTACAAAGTTTAATGTCTGTATTGAGTTTATTTTAGAGGAAAAAGAAAAGTTTTTTCTCACCCCCTTAACATCTTTATATTATTTGGTCAATCTTCGGTTGTTACTACGACTAGGGACAAATATCCGTGGTCATCTGTGACACAGATATTTCGTTGCGCCAATTTAATGATAAAAAGGTAACAATATATTGCTCTGAATTCTGAAAGACAAATGGTAGCCATTCTGAAGCTAACAATCTGACCATATAATTCAATGTTCTAGTATTTTCACATGTATAATGTTCTACGATTCACACGATCATACTGTTGAAAATAAACATTATAACATTGTCAAATGACTTGCTGAATATGTTCACTAATATTCCTTGATTTAGAAAAGAGGACAACAGATAAACATAGCTAAGTTAAATTTACGGTAGTTGTCTGTGTAATTTTAGTTTTATTGAAAAAAAAAAACAATTTAGAGGAAGTGTTCCTGATTATTGAATATCATCATCAACGATCAAGCAGACATGATTATTTAAAGTAGGTGTTATTGATTGTAATAATAAAGATAAATCATCCGAGAAAGTACAATATCCTGTTAAATGTGAAATATTCTGCAATCTTGTGTTGTGTTTTTTTTATCTTTGTAAATCAGTTATTATTTGATAAAGTGTATTTAATTCAGTCACTGATTGAATATTTGCCATGCACGTAAAAATTTAGAAAATGAACTTTCAGTTTTGAAGCACTTCAGATTTGAAGTAATGTTTAACTTATTCCGGTCTTTGTTGTTGGATTTTGTGTTCATTTATCAAAAAGTTTATTAGTACCTTACAACTGCGATTTTGACCTCAATGTGTCTTGTGGTGTTTTACGTCGTTAGATGGCCGTCTTTTTAACTATAACTCTAATCGCAACTTCACATTGAAACAACTGGACCTTCACACCAGTAACAATCCATCTAATACGTTAAAAAAATTAAATGAGCGACACTTTCCAATCCAATCTCACACTCAGGTTCTAATTAGGGCGTTGATTCTTTGAACACATACATGTATAAGAGTGTCAAAAGCCATCATTCCTTTGGCAGGGATTTAAATTCCATAATACCGTTAATAACCGTTATTCAATATGATATGATCTATTTTTTCTTGCTTTTTTTTTTTTGATCGTCTGACATACCACTATTACAGTGTTCTTTTCTGCACTGAGAATTTGCAATGTACTTATTTTTACTCAACTGAAAGATATTACAAGTTCGGTCCTCCAAAACTTAATTTAGTCAACCCATATAACAATTAGCTAATGCAAGAGTTGGACATTCTTCAGTGCTTGTCTTAAGTGTATCATATTTTAGGTCAATGTACATCAATGTAGATCATTGAAAGTCTTTGTAAACTTAATTTACAACTTTCCTCGTCTCAGGACGATTTAGAGTTGGACAAAGGTGGGTCGCATTAACCTATAACGCACGTCTCAATTCAATCACATTTTGTCTTTGCGATTTATAAAACATTGTTATAAACGTGATTTTTTTTTAAAGTCTTTATTCTATACAAAAGCAAGATGTTCCTTGTAAAACTTATGCAGTTAATTATTCACATTTTAACTATTTATTTCTTATGTTTCATGTTGATTGTAGCCGTAACTAAATCTTACATCAGTATTTCCCTTTATTGAAATAGTTTCTTGATGGTTTACACTTTCCTGCATTTCATCTTCTTCTCGTGCTCTTGTCCGTTTCTGTTGACATTTTCGACATTTAAGTTTGAAGACTTCAGTGAGGAGCGAAAGGAGAGCCAAACATACACCACCTCCAATAATGTAAAATGCAATCTGTATATCTAAAATTGCTATTGGTTTTGTTGAGGTCAGAAAAGATTCACGACAAGAGTGGTGTTGTGGCCAAACCTTTGTCATCCAAAGATCGATAAGTCCGCTCTCTAGTGTTAATATAATCCTGTAATAAAACAAATTGAATAATCTAACTTTGTTCGGTTATGAAAAATGACAAAGACATTTTTGTCTGTAGTTTTCTAGATAGTGCTTTAGAACTTTTTTTTATATTGTACGATTGTGAACTTATTAACAAGATGCCCTTCCGCCTTATTCACTTAACTATAGATACCATGATATTTTCCAGCTTTCAATTTTACACTTGACGTATACTTCTTTTTATTCCTTTTCATTATATAATTTGAAAATATGTCTCTTTTTTTTAATTTCTTTTTTTATTTTGAATTTTTGTTTGTGTGTTTTGTATAAATGCCGTGATTTTTGTCCACTAAAACTACCTTTACCAGTTTATTTTCGGATGAATGCGTACTTCTTTTTCATTTAAAACATAATTGCCATACAAAAATATATATAACCTGATAAATGATGCTACTTTTTTTAACACTTTAGACATTATTTTATTTACAAAGAGAATAGCCAAATTGTTCCACACACTGTATAGTACATTTATGACTTTTATTCATATCTCTACCATTTCTTGTAATAGAATAATTACCATTGTCATTTTGGAATTACCTACCCGTCGGTAAAAATCTTCTCGAATGGTGAGTTGTTAGGTAAACCTATGGCATACGTCGAAAACATATCTGTTGATACCTTTGCTAATTCACAGCTATTTATTACAGATATTTCCATTGGAATGTTGTCCCACAGAAAAGCATACTCTCCCTCTAAAACCTTTAGTATATGTGCATCATAATCACCTCTAAGAATGGAAGGGTCACTTCGGCTAAATTTAAGGACTCCATCATAGAATGCTTTCCGTTCTGGTAATGCTGAGTTCTGAAGAAAAAAAACGCTGAATGCATATGTGATGTTAAGGTAACTACTATTATATATAATACTTTCAAATACGTAAATGGGTGAATAATATGTCACTGATTCCATTGTTTGTAAAGACATCCTGAATAAATGTATTTACAATAATTAAAATCATACTTTAATTATTAAATCTTCTACACTTCGATTATAAAGTGTTAACTGTGTTACATGAAAAAACACTAAGATTCAAATCATGTCCTTCTGATCTACATATGGCTGCTTCTCCTCCAAATAATATTACATATTTTTTTTGTCTCTATTTCCGAGTTTTCCAGCAAGATCTTCATGTCTATCGCTGTCCTGACTCACTTTTTTTATTTAAGATACTATGTCACTACAAACCAGTAAAAGTCTGAAATGGCTTATATCTGTACTCGACTGACTGATATTTGCTCGATCAGTCTGAAGTGGTCTGCAATTTACTCAGTATTTCTCGACTGTAGTCTCTGAACCATACTTAACAGTTTGAACTTGTACTTGACCTTTACCCGACCAGCACTCAACCATTTTATAAGTGTCTGAACCATGCACGACCTAGTCTGAACCATACTCGACCGAGTCCGAACCATACTCGACCAAGTCCGAACCAACCTAGACCTTTTTCTGTAACTATATATTGCATTTCATCAATTTAGGAACTATTTTCAACAACAGTTATTTTTCTTGGCTAGAAATTTTGAACAACAATTTGAAATCCAAAATGTATTTAATCATGTTGATATATCATTGAAACCAAAATTTCACAATAAACATGTGTATATTGGTAAACGGACAGAAAGTCACAGGACAAAAAATCACAGGACAGAAAGTCACAAATTTAATGGGAGAAAATGTCACAGGACAAAACGTCACATTTATTTTTCCTTATAATTATTTGAATAAAAAATGAAAAAGTTCTTGAAATCATTATTTTTTATTGCCTATATTCATTTTACAGTTTATGAAATTGTTCATCAGCATTGATTAATGAAGATTTATCAAATTTTAAGCATGCAAAGGATATATTTATTGGCAGCATAAAGTTTTTTATATATAAGAAAAATACAAAAATGTGTTTGAAAGTAAATATCTTCTTATTCATTGGCTGAATTGAGACTTTTTGTCTGTGACTTTTTGTCCTGTGACTTTTTGTCCTACATTCGTGTATATCACCTCTAAAATAAAAATAGAAACACAATGATCAAAGGAACCAATGTCTGGTCGGATTAAAAAACATCATGTAATTAGTTAAGTTTTCAGTTAAATGAATTTGTATATACATACTGTCTCATGCTCACATTACATTATGTACATCAAAAATACTAAACTCTCGACCATTATTTAAATATCTTAAATGGTATTCAAAACTGTTCAAATGTTTCAGATATATTTCATGGTTACTGGAAACATTTCAACACTAACTTAAGCCTAGTATAAATCTATGGTGTCAGTCGAGTTAGGTTTAAAAGCAGTGATCATTTTTTTTAATATTGTATAGAAAGCAACTTAATCAATTTTACAAATGACACTTTTGTTTTGTTAAACCAAGAATTTGGTATTATAGAACTTCCATAGCAATCCTTGATAAAATTTTAAAAAAGGAACTGTGTTCCAAAGTTACAGGAAAAAATTAGATTGATTAATTAAGTGTTGTCAAAATTAAAGACATGGGATACAAGAAGCATCTTAATAAGGTTTCATGACCTCAGTACAGGTGAGTTTTACAGGTAAAAGGAAAATCCTTTTTTTCTTTAAACTCGTGTATTATATTTCTAGTGAATTTAATAGGCCTTGGAATTTAAGTTTTACAGGATATTGTTTAAAATTTATAACTCTCCGACCAGGTGTGATCTTTTTAATGTTTGATGAGTGTGTTGCAAGTAGGAGGTATTAACTTACTAGTATAGTTTACCTCTGATCAGAAGAACAATTTTAATTATTTCTTTAATATTTAATCCCTTTTAGATACACATATATATATATGCACAAGAGTGCACACGCTGAAATGTCTCGCCTCCTTTACTAACCATTGATTTTATGTTCATAGTCCTAAATATAAAGATTTACTACAAGTAAAACATAAACTTAACATGATCCATGAAAATGAGGTCAAGGTCAGATAAACCAAACGAGAAATACATGTACACCTTACAATCGATATCATTCAATAAACCAAACATAGTTCACCTATTGCTTATAGTTTCTAAGAAACAGTCTTAACCAAGTAAACTTAACATTGACCAATGAACCATGAAAATGAGATCAAGGTCAGATTAACCATGCCAGACAGGCATGTACACCTTACAATCAATTTATGCATTAAATATAGTTGACCTATTGCTTATAGTATCTAAGAAACAAACTTAACCATGAAAAATTAATATTGTCCAATGAACCATGAAAATGAGGTCAAGGTCAGATGATATCTACTAGACAGAAATATACACCTTACAATCCTTCCATACAACAAATATAGTTGATCTATTGCTTATAGTTGAAGAAAAACAGACCAAAACACAAAAACTTAACACTGAGAAATGAACCGTGCAAATGAGATCAAGGTCAAATAAAACCTGCGAGACTGACATGTACATCATAAAATATGTCCATACACCAAATATAGTTGACCTATTGCATATAGTATTAGAAAAAAAGACCAAAACTCAAAAACTTAACATTGACCATTGAACTATGAAAATACAACATAGAACATAAAAGACAGCAATGAATATAAAAAACATTATATTCTGATATTATAATAATATATCATAATTATATATATATAATGAACGAACCTTTTTTAATTTTATTCATGATCTAAGATGCAAAATAATAATAACCGGTAAATGCTAACACATTATAACTCATCACTACTGAAAAACTGATGATTGCATATGAAGTCATTCTGTTTATTAATGTTTGAGAAAAGTGTGATCAAAATTTCAAATTTATTAAATAAAAAGACCAAAGTATCGGCAAACAGGAAATATGTGTCCGACAGATCTGTATAGTGTTCCCACGTAACAACGCATCATTGCTAAGCTGCTTATCAAATATAAAGTAATTATGTTCAGTAGTACCTGAAAAGTTTCTGACGGAAATATTTCTCTAAACGAACGGCAGGAAAGACAAGGAGAATGTTATATAGCCTCCAGTTTTCGAGTGGACTATTACAAGACATCTGATTTAATAATTTAGATTCTATTTTTCAAATAACACTCAGGGAGTTACCTTAAATATGGTTTCATAAGCGGATCCACCAATAGTACCCCATTTATAAATGTCTTGTCCTACTAATCCCTCAATCCCTTCGAATGGAAGCGTCTCTTTAGTAACACTCAAAACGGCAACGAAATTCCCGCTATATGTCGCTACTATTATTATGCAAAATATCCACCAGCAGCTGAGAAATGTCCTTCCTGCTGTCGATGCTGCTATGTGCGTACCGCCTGAAATACAGTTTGTCTGCATATATATTTAATTATATGTTATTATAAAAGTTGATACGTCCATGAAGTGTGATTTGGTACAGAGTTCTATTTTCTAATCATTTTAGATAGCACATTTTGTATCGATATGTGTTAAGTCGTACATTTCATGATTATTTCTTATTTGGCTAAAAGCATATTCAACATGTAAGTAAAATTTTGATTTTCAAAGCAAAATTATAGAAACTTTATCGTTTATTATCATTTCAATCAATGTTTATTGTAATTAAGCAATATATTCGATGTTGTCATAACGGAATATGAACTCTTTATCAGTTTATCATCTTAAAGGGTCAAATACTGTCAATTAAATCTAAATGTTGTAACATATAAGTAAATCAAACAATTATTATATATTGTGGGTAATTTTTCATACACCGTAATAGTGTTCTTACCATGAGTTAAAAGTGCACCATACATATACCAAACTAATTCAGAGAATTGGTGTAGTACTCTTATTTCCTTTTTTTCTTTGACTTTTCTGTAAAACGGGTTGTACTTTTCAAATAAGAAAAGTAAAAGCGAGCATGCTGGTACCGATATCCCGACGCATAAGAAAACTGTTGAACTGAAAGGGTCAAGTAATTTAGTCCATTGTTTTTCACCAGGATCTGGCTTCTTTATCAGAATCGATGTGGATTCATAATAATAGGGCTGTGTAAAATCCATCACCATTTCCCGCTGTGACAGAACTGTCAAAGCAGTGGCTACCATGTCAATTTCCTGTATTATATAACACTGAAAAACTAAAGTTATATTATACGTTATCAATGGCTTCTATCATTTTACATAAAACAACTGACTTTAATTTGGACTGCAACACTGCAGGTTTTAATGACAAACGGGAAATCAAAACGATAAATGTAATGTGTATAGTTAAGGTAGCACAATACAAAAGCAACTAAATTTTATCAAAATTTCATTTTCAGCTGTTTTTGTTACTTCTTAATATTCAAAAACCACAGAAGAAAAAAATATAAACATATCTTGCACTGTTAATGAGTTTTGATGATAATTAGTTTTATAAACAAATGCACGTATCTGACTGATACAAGATAAGAACTTGTGGGCAGTACTATGTGGTTAATCAGTAGAATCATTTGATAGCTTTACGACCACTGACCAGCAATAAAAATAACAGTTACGAAAAAGAGGTGGATTAGGGATTTATGGAAAAATGAAGATAATGAATTCCAAATAAAAATGCATTTCTGTATTGGAGCTGCCAGGAGAAAAAACAAAAACAACTATTTGGAGCTATATATAAATTACAGATATTAAACAAACATAATTGTACAACAATAAATGTTGCTGATGTTTATACTGGAATTTCTTGCGGAGAATCTTTAAATATGAATTTCTTTTTAAAAGAAAATACAAAGTAAATATTTCATTTTCAAACTACAAAAAATGAAAAAAAATATACTTTGTGTAAAACACCATATTGTCACTGTATACAATTATAATTCTAGAAATCCCCCACAAGGATCCTCTATACTGACCAACTGATCATTTTGTGTACACATGCATGACTTAGTTTTTGTAACAATGCAAAAAACAAAATATATCATTTATGTACTAAAAGAATAAAATCCATATTGAAAAAAGTAAATGCAATGTGTAATTAAACTTCTGAGATCATTAATAGTAAAGGTTTATTATGGTGGCCGGAGTTTTGACCATATCAGTAGCAACTGACTTACAGCAAGGTCAATAATGATATAACATCTCCCCACCAGATCTGATTTTTGATGCATAGGGTGTGCATTTTCTTTATATATTTAGAACTGCTGAATTCGAATGCTTCTTACTGGTCAAAACCTAATTGATTTATGATTAAAGGCCAATCCTGAAGTATCCCCGTGATACATGTGTGAATTATATTGAAGTTAATGGGGTACAAGTAGGAAAATCCTTATTTATTCAATTGTGACACATTCATTTTTGTCATGAAAATGTAGTTTTAAATGAAATTAGCTCCTAGACGGGTGCCCCTATATGCTTGATTTTCACACATGTTGTTCCTTGATCAGTTATCTTCAAAAGGGTGTCTCAGATTTCCCACAACATCAATAGAACAAATTTTATACCCAATTTGATTTAGTGATCTCTTATGAATTGAGTTTGCAAATATAAGAGAATGAAATATGATAGGAAAAATCTGAGACACCCTTTTGGAGGTCAAACTGTGTTGCACAAGAATCTATAAAATATTTTGGGATGGTATGAATAACAAAGAAGCTAATTTCATTCAAGTGTGGACATCGCAATATAGCAACTAATTACATAATAATTAATTATGTAATAATCATGTCATAATGAAATAATCAACATTTGAAAGATTAATCTTTCTTCTTTCTTTTGGTACCTCATTTATAAAATTTAAGGTTGGATGAAAGAAATTACATCAGTTTAAAATTGTCTGATTGGGGGTGAAACAATCTTTGTATTATGCTACCTAAAGTGTCTACTTCTGTTTATTTTGACAGTAGTACTAACTTATCTTAGGAAGCGATGTTACTAAAATGTTCATTTTCAAATATTTAAACGAATTATAAGATTACATCAAATCTGAAAATCCGCTTCATTTCCTCCATTTTCTTTTACTAAGCCTTAATTGATTCATTAAATACATTTTATAGATATACTACTGTCAAGTATAAAAATGTTTCTCCAAAAAGGCAGTAATTGATAGTAATTATATTTTTTTTTTGAACAATTGATTTAAAATGTTCAACTATGTTCCATATCTTCAGATTTCTGTGTTTACGTATGTATTTTATTTTCATTCGTTCCTTGATGGACAATTAGTCCCGATGGTATCACCAGCCCAGGATCCTGTACTTCGATACTGGTCTGAAAGTACGAATATTGTTTGACTAAAAATTGCTGTTATAAAAATTTAAAATGTATTTAAACTAAGGAGTGTTTTCTCTCATCTACATCTCTGATTCCTTGTCCGGGCTTGGATCTACTTTTGGTCTTTTTTCGTTTTATCAGCTCTTCAATGCAAATATTAGGTTTTTGACTTCTAAATATTGTAACCTCAATCATCACTGAAGGGATACTAATTGTCATAATTCGCATCTGTTGCAATAAATTAATAAAATTGGTAATGTTATTACTACCACAAGTCAATATATTTTCTGGTAGACTATTAGTTCCATAGAGTATCACTAGCTTAGTAGCCTGTACTTTATTACTGGCATGAAAATACAAATATTATTGTATTGATATTTACTGTTATAAAATTTCGAAATCCTTTTAAATTAAGGTATGTATTTCTCTCATGAACAACTCTGATTCATTGTCCGGGTTTGGATTTACTGTTGGTCCTTTTTTGTTTTATATCAGCTCTTCAACATTTTGTTTTTAACTTTCAATTAGTTGGTCTCGAGCATCACCGAAAGAGACACTAATTGTCGAAATGCGCATCTGGTGCAGTAAAGTTGGAACCGTTAATGTTATTTCCATATTTGAAATTCGAAATTGACTTTCATTGTTATTTTGCTATTCGGGGTTTGTGTCCATTATGATTCCATCACAGAAAAGAACAATACTGTTTTTTAAGCAGGGTTAGTTTCAGACTACTATTGGTTGGTTACATTACTGAACAAATTATACAGTTTTACAATACAAAGTGTGTACCACCCGGATGGATTAACTCATATTCACTAATTTCACGCCATATCTAAATAACTACCTTCCGGTCAAAAACATAAACAGTCATGATAACGCGTGTTTGATAAGAAAACAAACAATTAAGTCAGTACTCAAGACAAAGATTTATCAAAATGTTATAGCAGCGCTTGAAAAAGGAGTATATATCTCCCAGTTGATACGATATTCCAGGGCTTGTATTTACTATCATGATTTCCATTATAGAGGGTTGCTGCTCACATGGAAGCTATTAAACCAAAAGTTCCAAGTAGTGAAGTTGAAATCTTTGCTCCGTAAATTTAACGGACGCCATCACGAGTTGGTTGATCATTAGGAATATCTCTTTCACAGATGACGACGGATATGTTCCAATTGTCGTTACAACAATCCCGTCCCCTTTTCCCCGAATGTGACGTTCCGAATTGGACTTATAACCGGGTGTGTACTTACATGAGCAACACGACGGGTGCTACATGTGGAGCAGGATCTGCTTACCCTTCCGGAGCACCTGAAATCACCCCTAGTTTTTGATGGGGTTCGTGTTGCTCAGTCTTTAGTTTTCTAAGTTGTGTTTTGTGAACTTTTGTTTGCCTGTTTGTCTTTTTCTTTTTTTGCCACTTATTTCGACTTATGAGTTTGAATATTCCTTTGGTATCTTTCGCCTCTCTTTTGGTATTCAGGCGAAACGTTTTAAAAAAACATACAAACTAAAAATATACAATACAAACAAGACTCATTGTCATCATGAAAAGAAATAAAGAACTCAAACTGATAACCATAATTCTAATAAATCACATAACGAATGCAAGATTCTAATGTATTGCCGAATCATTCCTTGATCAAATATGAGAAAAATGAAAACAACACTTTATAAATTATATCCGTAATGGGCGCTTTTCCTGATTTTATGTTCATCAGGGAACTCAAAGCCGAATATTTAAAGGGCAATATATGTATAAAAAAAAACGAAACAGTTAAAGAGATCAACTTTGCCAAAATCAATATATAATATATTCATTCGTGTAGTTGTGTTGCTGTCTTATTAAAATTTACACTCACTTCTCATTGCAGACAAGGTATTTTGATTTCAAGTAGGGTAAAGAAAACTTACAGTTTTGGATCAAAGTAACAGAGCAATGCATAACAATACTAACTTTTCGTTGTAGTTGTCCCACCATTCCATTCCAAGTACCGTTAGCTAGTTCAGCACCCCAGTTACCGTCCGGAGGTCCAATGAGATCATATCTATTTTACAGATGATACAAGTACTATGTGGTATGAGTTTATCCGTTATCAAGATACAATTGTAAGTTGTAGCAATGATAGTGATGCATATAGTTGAATTTATTTTATTGCTGGTCGTTCACTTTTCTTGAAAAAGAGACAACAAGATGAGGGAGTGGGCGGGGTCCATACAGGAGTTTAGATTTTTTAAATATTTATAAACCGTCGAAAAATCAATTTTGAAGCACTTTCTCTGATATATATTGAAAACATGTCAGAATGCTATAACTTTTAATTTAGTGAATATGTATTGAACAGGATTTGTTTTGCCAACAATTGCCGTATCTATATAAAGAACTTTCTTGGACTCAAACACATGATCGATTTACACAGATTTAAGTACTGAACAATATCCAACTCGTTTCATAATAAAGGAACTAACTGCTTGCGCGTTGTTCGATTAAGGTAAATTTTACAAACATTAATCAAAATATCTCTTTCATTTGAAAATCCATATTGACTTAACAGCTTTGTTTCATTGTTACAAGGATACAAAATACTTACGTGAAATTAAGACCGTCTGACAGGTGTTTCAGTAGGTCCATTGTTATTCCAGTGTATGTTTTTGTTCTGTTATTCAACACGACAAATGGATAAGACTTGACAAAAAAAAGAATGGTAAAAACATGCATCTATGAAAATTATGGCAATATAGTAGTATACAACCTCATCATAGATACCAGGATTAAAATGGTGTACACCAGACGCGCGTTTCGTATAAAAAAGACTCATCAGAGACGCTCGAATAAATAAAGTTACAAAGGCCAAATAAAGTATGAAGTTGAAGAGCATTGAAGACCAAAAATTCCGAAATGTTTTTCCAAATACAGCTAATGTAATTCGTTTCGGGGTTAGCAAATCTTAAGTATTATACAAAAAAAAATGTTGAAATCTCATTAATCGATTAAGAAGACAAATCAAGGTAACAACAAAAAAAAACTAAAGTACATTATAAGTTTAAAAATATTCGGCATAAATCAATAATAATGAAATGTCTAAATAACATGATGCAAGCCGCGTACGGAAATCATTTTGTATCATAAAAAAACAATGAATTAATCATTTTCAAACTTACATATAACTATTGATTTAAAAAGTGTTTACATTCACATGTACAAATGCATAGAAGGTATCGAAAAGTGAATATTTACTTACTAATGTTATTTATTTATTTTTTTTTGTCATCATAACAATTTCTTTACAACTAAATACTCGTTGTATCAACTGGGGTGACTCAAAATTTCGGATGAGTCAAAGTTTTCTCGTGGTCCTGAAATTTGTTCCATATAAATATATGTATTTCGACTCCTGATGTGTCGAAATTGGATGAGTCGAAATTTCGGTTGACTCGAACTAAAATTACGGTCCCAAGGTTAACAAAAGCATTCAAAATGCATTATTTATCTCGAACTAATACACATTTCAAAACATGACCTCTGGGATTTAAATGGATTAAAGAGTTAATCTGACAATACACGTGTAATTAAATTTCCGGTCACTGACCATTGTATTGATTTATGACATTCTTTTTCCACGAGTGTTTACCTAAGAATATCTCTGAAAACAATGATAAATAATTAGCGATACATTAATATTGTTATAGTTTATGAAAATTTTTTTGAAATGTTTTTAAAATAATACCGTTATCATACACAAATGCGCTTGGCTGTGTATAAAGTAGGGATTAAGACTTCCGTTGGTGATCAACTAACAACTTCTCAATCGTAATCCTTAATCTTTTTGTATTTTCTCTTGCAGAAAAATGGAAAAGAAATCTAAATTTTCTAAAATCTCTTGGATACGAGAATGAACAATTTTGTCAACTTTAAATAACGCTAAGATCGATTGGAAATTACTCTCTCGGCTAAAAACCACAGGAAAAATGTAACTGTGTAAACAAATGAATAAGAGATGAAAACATAAATTGCTATTATGACAATAAAAGACCATAACACACTAATACATTGATCTGAGACCAGAATATCGATCCCCTATCCATATCCATCCAGATTTATTTTAGCCTTACCAAGCTCAACAAGAGTTATGTCCCTTGGTCTGCCAAACTTCCGGTTTTCGTTTGAGTCGAACTACGGGTATCTCGAAATATTTCTCTGGTCCGGCTGACTTCGAGATAACGAGAGTCGACTAAAAACCATTATGCGCGGTGAATTCCCGTTATAAAAGTTCACTTTGAGGACTTTAATCGACGATTTAAAACCACTTGGAGTTGTCTATCTTTACATATTTGGCAAAATCTTCCTCGATGCGCTTAATTCCAATTGGTATCTGACATGAATAATTCTTGAGACAATTTCGTTTTCAATTTTAAACTTAAAAGCTATACTTTAGAACTATTAATAGTAAGTTTGAATTACCATCGAATGTTCTTTGTGCAAGAACAAATTTACAATCTTTCAACAAAGAATGAAATATTTACCCAAAATCCTTTTGGCATTTTGTTTTCAGATCGTATGCACTTACTCTTTAAATTATTTGAATCAGTTTATCAAAAGGAATAACATTTTCATACGTTATTTACTGTTTCCGTCAGTCAAGGCATATTATAGGTTTGAATATTTAGGTCGCATTTTTGTGCAGCAGAACATTAATCAAAACATCTAATATACATATACTATTATAAGAGTAAACATTTCAAATTTTGGACATCACGTATACAATAACATACTTACGGGTATTGTGCTGACCAAAAACTTTCTCTTATTAAAACCAAATCTTGCATTAGGAAATATTTCTTTGTCTGTTAGTCTACTTCCATTAGACTTTATATCAGATAAACCTCGCCGGTCCTGGTGCCACATTAGTGTATACATTGGAAACCATTTACATTTATCAGCTTGTAAACATGGGGTTTGCTAAAATACAAGCAAGCTTATTAATGCAATAAGAACTTACATATAACATATAGATTATTTAAGAATATTATTAAATTTGAAAAATATGTATCTGTTGTAAATAATGATATTGATAGAGTATGTATGACAAGGTTCAGAACCAGTAGTCATCAACTTCATATTGAAATTAGTAGAACACAATACCAAAAACTCCCATAGATAACAGGATTTGTAAGAACTGTAATATAAATTTTAAATGAAATGTCTGGTATGATTTATTCTTGTGATACATCTATAAACAGGCACTTTGGATAAAAGTTAATGAAACAGTTACACAACTGCAATCGTTCAGCAAAATCATATTTCAAGGGGGTAGGCCTTGGTAACCCAAAAATTTTCCCGTCGTTTAATTTTTTTTTATATTTTAACCATTGAAAGGGTAGGGGTCCATGCATCATCTGCCAACATTTTGTTGAAATTTACCGTTGAATTTTAAGTGTATTGTTTATTGAATATTTGTATTTGCCCATGTCCGCATTAGGAATATCCATGACTATTAAAATGTGAAGTAGAAACATATTTTGAAGTAGATTTGAAATTTTATGGTAATATTCGAAGTTTGAATTTAAAAAAATGGTTTAAAACTATTGAATAAGTCTAAAATTCTGGCCAGTTCGCATAAAATATTTCTTTTTCCAACTTTGCCAGAAAACAATATCGTTTGATTCCTGCCAAAAAATTGTTTTAACAAGTATTGTTTATAAATCTTGAAAATTACAAATTTTTATTGAATTTGACCGTTTGAAATTTACAAGATTTTCAGTTAATTTGGATTACAGACATAAGAAAAAAAGAAAATTTTTGAACAAAATTTATGTTTTTTTTCTCTCCGAAATCTTCTACATTCTCTTTTTCTATTTCTATTGTGTGTTTTAGTGAAAATTGTCATAAAAATAACTGTATATTCAAGATGGGACGATTATCTTTTGGACAAATTGACGTATCTACATTTTAATAGTACGTAATGTTGATTTCCTTCCCCAAGACTACAAAATGCCCCTTTTATCGGACGAGCAGACGCTAAATTGAATGTTTGACAGTCTGTCACTATCTAAATCTTATCTTTGTGCTGATTTATCTGTTAGCATAAAATTGTACTAGGATTGATGCTTAGATCATATCTTCTAGAATATTGCCGTTTGTATTTGAAGACAAATAGTTTAGTTTAGTATTAAAGCCTTATAACTTCATTGTCAATCCATTTTTTCCCAAACCGTACAAGATATTATCTAAATGATTTCAAGGGTCATTCTTAAACCTCCTCAGTACGTAGGATTTTTCAAAAGCAATTCATGTATAAATGTTCATTTTCAAACTTTTCTGCTATGATTTTTAAACCTTGAAAAAATGTAATTCCTTAATTTAATTACATATAAGAAGATGTGGTATGAGTGCCAATGAGACAACTCTCCATCCAAGTCAAAATTTATAAAAGTAAACCATTATAGGTCAAAGTACGGTCTTCAACACGGAGCCTTGGCTCAAACCGAACAGCAAGCTATAAAGGGCCCTAAAAATTACTAGTGTAAAACCATTCAAACGTGAAAACCAACGGTCTAATTTATATAAAAAACGAGAAACGAGAAACACTTATGAACTACATCAACAAACGACAACTATTGAACATCAGATTAATGCCTAGTAATCAAATTTGTCCAATTTTCTTAGTTGCTCCTGCATCATTCTCATATTCAAACGTAAACAACATAAATGCTTGATCACTTTTTGAATTACTGCTAGGTTAAAACGCACAAATGACTTCCAATAACTCAAAAAGAGTTGTCTCCCATGCCCAGGTCTACCCCCTAAATAACGAAAAAAAGTCTTTAATAATTAGCACAGTCAATCATACTATGACAGTACTATAGCTATACACAGAGTCGAACACCTGGCCAAATGCTTAATGTTAAATAGTCAATATAATAAAGACACAGTCGACTACTGTAAAAAGTCCCATTTTGGGACAAACATATATAGTCACTGTTTAACAGTCCATTTCTATGTATGTTGGTGTTTGCTTTTGTTGTCGTTCAGTGTTATTCCGTTGTTTTCCTCTTATAGTTGATGCGTTTTCCCCGGTTTTAGTTTGTTACCCGGTTTTGTTTTTGCTTAATCGAATTATGAATATTGAAAAGTGTTATACTACTGGTGCTTTTATTTAAATTATTCACACTTTTTAGATTCGGGGCGATTTGCAGCCTAGCTTATTGTTTTGAATAAAACCTTTTGTTGAAGACTGTATACTGCTTTCTGGATGTCTTTTCATTTTATTTTGTTGCCAAGATATAGTATGGGACAATAAGGCGGCGTAAAACAAGAAATCAATGATTAAATAATTGTTTTAGTTGTGTTTCGTTAAGTCGCTTTATCATTCACGTTTACTCGATTTTTTAAGATTTTCATACATACGAAAAATTATAAGAAATGAATGAAAGAAAAAGTAAATTTGAATAAAAGAAAACAAATACCTTTTTCTTTTCGATGTAGTTGTTTTCGAATGATTTTAATTGGGATGAGAACAAATTAATCACTGCAACATTGTCAAAAGGAATATGGATATCTTCCAAAATCCTCAAATCTTTGTCATAAAAAATTCCAACCAGCCATCTTGAAAAATGGAGAAGTGAATTTCGCCAAATATTTGTTCGATCAAACTCAAAAGGCTGAAAGGGAAAATTAGTAATTAGTATGTATGTGTGGTATTGTGCATTCCAGCACAACCTGCATACGAGGTATATAATCTATTTCAAACTGATACGATATTTTCGGGTTTGCATTTCCTTCATAAGATATGGTTGCCACTTACAGACAAGCGATTGAATCAATTATTTTCAATGGAAAAGGAGAAGTCATGTCGTTGTGTACCTAAGGCAGATGAAGGAAGTTTTATTAACTTCATCATGATTTGGTTGACTGTTTTGACGGGTATGACCATGGGATAAATATCATTTGCCGTTGATTTTGTCCCTCTTGTGTTTTTTTTATTTTTAATATATATATATATTTTCGGATTTTCAAAATATATTTACGAGATGCAAACATTTAAATCAAATAATATCTGGTATCTTTTATTATCACCACTTTATTGATACAAGTGTTTTGATTCGAACGCCACGTTCAAGTCCTATGTAGACGAAACGCGCGTCATGCGTACCAAATAATAAGCTTCGTATCTTTGATGAGTTCTTACGATCATTGGGTTAATAATTACTTGTGGACGTTTGGACCAGTCCATGCCAGTAGTCAGCCCTTTTGTTGTAATATGTAATATCATTGATACATAAAATTTCTGAAAAGTTACTTTTGGATTATTCCCATTCAGAAAGGTTTTCTACCCAGGCATAGATAACCTGAGCCATGTTTAGCACAATGTTTCGGAAATTTTGGTTTTCAATGCCCTTCAACTTTGATAAATGTAACCGATAATGAACTACAATTGCATACGTGTAGTGGATTGCAAGCCCGCTAGTTTTCTTGTATTGGAATGATATTCATTTGAAATTAATAATTTACAGTTGCGAAAAAGACGTAAAATTTGATAAATTCGGAGGTTTTTCCCTAGTTTTACAGCAATTCCACCGACACTCTAAATCCTATTGATGTTATTCAAATTTGGATTGATGTTTATTTAGAAATAATTCGTTCATGCCATGATCTATGCTCATTTTAACATGTGTAGGCATTATATTTGTCAAGTATCTTTATACCGAGCAATACAATGAGCATAGATCATGACATGATAGAATTATTTCGATTCTAATAGGAAAATTCAGAACTTTTTTTCTTTGAATCGGACCTACACGTTGGAAAGACAGCCATTCTGATTTGATGAAGACGAAACGATACTTACAAACCTGTTTAGCCAGTCATATTTTTCATGTGCCTGTCCCATGTCATTTGCAGACATGACAAATCTATTTTTTTGTTTCTCTCCAAATGCAGATATTGAAATATAAACGTTATACTATCATACCGATTCCTAAGTATAGCGCGTGTTTCTGTATTCACATTCATCTTGAACCATAAAGACCAAAAGTTTGGGATCGAAATTGATTGATGCATTTGAAAGCTTCAAAGACGTTAAAAGTCTTACCAGAACAGTATGGTCTAAGGCAAACTACATTATGGTACACGTAGTACAATGTGCCTAGTATTTTTAAAACACATTTTGCGATCTATTTTGTGTTATTGTGGTTTTCCCTATTTAAGTGAATAAATATAACGTACATTTATTGAATGACTGTAATATTTTTTTCTGTCTATGAAGAAATAACATCAAAAATGTGGTGCACACTGAATAATCCGCATAGCGGGTTATTATAAAGTGTGTACCACATTTGTTATGTTATTTCGAATAGACAGAAAAAATATTACAGTCATTTCTCATGATTTAATTCTAAATTCTATTTTAAACTAGAGTAAAGCATGAAAAAACGTTGATGACGTCACGGTCACATGACAAAATTATGTCTATGAGCTGATAAACAAAACAACGTCAGCAAATCAGAAGACGCGTTACATCCACAATTAAATTATGTTAAAATATTTGAAACAATAATGGAGGTTTATACCAAATATAACTGTATTGTCTATGTTTGGTTCATGGCAATAGTTTAAACGATCAATCTTTAACTTAAGGAAATCATCAACCTGACGAACCTGTTCTATCTCCGTTAGTAGTTTATACGGTTCCAAACGTTATTTACTTCCCCATTTACCTGACAATGCCTATACTTTTTAAACTAAATGGGACTTTTGTATAAGACAGGTTTTACATCTACCTTTATTTCCCGATTGAAAAAATTCCCGAACCTTTTTGACGTTTATTATTTTAATTATGTGCTTCAACTTATGTATATTTAGCTTGAAATTCCTCTCCTGTCAATGCAAATGGTATCATTTTGAATAGCATTCGCGAGATTCACACTAACTATCAATCTAACCATATTTCCGTATGCTTTTCAACATTTTTCGTTGATCTGAGGGGTCTCGATGGCTTAGTGCTCCAATTACATGTAGTTAAACTACTGGATAACTTGCCTGTCAGCACTAAGGTTATGAGTTCGAAACTTGCACGTGGTAGGTGTGTTCGACTCCAATTTCAATTATTGAGTAGGATTTGAATTTATAGGGAAAGGGCAAGAAAGCTAAGAAAGTATCGATGATAACCGTGACGAGTAAAAAAAAATCTTCATCTAGATGATGGTTATAAATTTATATTACAGATTATACTACAACAGGCTTGAATTTACGAAGCTTTAAAAACATTTTACCTGTTTTAAGAATGATTGACATGATTCTAATCTACACAAAACCGTAAAGTTAAGCATGAAAGATGCATGTGTATTTGTACTAAGAATATCGTCTATTTTTGATGATGTCATGTCTTCCATAGAATACATAACAGCATACTTTCCGGTAACTGATAAGCTTTGTTGAAGTTCTAATGCTTCGGATTCTGAAAGAAACAACAAATAATTTTACGCATACAGTATTGTAAAGACCAAATACATAACGATCAATGTGTACTATGCGGGTTTTTTTCTTCTGCTAAGGCCCTCATTATATGTTTGCTTGAAATAAAGGTTTTGGAAAGTGAATAAATGAAACATTAAGAAACATTAAAAATCTGAAAAAAAAACTCAAAAGAATAGCAAAGACGTCTCATGGCAACTTTGTTAGAGGATGTTGTAATCTTGATTTCATTCCAATTTCAAAATTTAATAATAACAAGTTGCAACCACAAAGCATCAAATAAATCCTTCTCATATCGAAGAATTGAATACTGGTCTAATGGAGCCCTCTTAGCGACAGAGAGTTGGTGTATTGCGATCCGCTTTTTCATACTTAAATACGAATAAAAAATGAACATATATGATTGATTGAATGTTGTTTGCTTAACATCTAGTGGCAAAGTATTCATGCAATTTCAGTACGAGAACAAATTAACAATAAAAACAATAGGTCCTGTAATAGATGAAGGTCTGGGAAATTTAGAATGCCACTGGAAAATGAGTGTATATTGAATAGGGATAGACAATTTGCCCTCCAAATGGCTACCTACAGACCCTAAAAGAGTAGTTACAAGGGTTCTCAACGTGCAAATTGCATGACACTCTCTCTACATGAGGGATCGTTCCAATTTTGACCGACTTGTACATCCCGCACAGCTAAACGGACGCCCTATTTTTGCAAGGGCTATACTGCCTGTGGAAGAAGTCCAAGAATAATTACATTTCTTTTCCCCAGTCACCTTGGGGGTTGGAAATATATGCATTATCAAACTAATATAGTGAAAAAGTAAATATATCAACTGTTTTTTGTTCTATTTTCGTAATTGTAGTTTGACGGGAAAAATATTGCTATTACTTTATGATAATGATATTAACAAAGCTAATTGCGTTCATTGATTTGAAACAGGAAACTTTTTTTGTTATTATGATATATTAAACATTCCAAAAATTATCTCTTCTGTATGATTATTTGGTCGACAAATACAAATAAAAAGTTAAAAGAAAGGGATATGCTTTCTTGGAATGCGCACACACACAATTAGAATTAAGTGTCAAACACTTATTCCTGTAGTCGAATACTTAAAGGTAAATGGATTTGAAGTAAATACTTTCCTAACGAATCTTGAAAGCGTCCGATACGCTTTTCTGTGTTTATTTTCAACAGGAATGCTAAAACCTCATTATTTGAAAGCCTGGAAAATATGAATACGTAGAAATATTCGGAGCTATATGATCAAAATGAACCTAAAATGAATAGCAAAGTTCAAAGGTTAACTTTGCCTAAAGGAGTTGTACCTTAGCTTCTTAGTATTTTTTATTCCGATTTATAAATGGGGAACTTTAAAGAAATATTTTATTATGTCAGTACCAAAACACTAAGTACTAAGCTGTTGATACGCTCGAAGACTAGCAATCCACCAGCAGTGGTACATTTGTATAAACCGAATAAGAGTAAATGAAAATTATATCTTATAATTTAAAATTTTGCTCTTTGGAAGCGCTTTTCCTGATTTACCTTCATCAGAAAATTTATCAAAGACTTTGCCGTAAATAAAACTACAAAAGTTTTTATCAAAGAAAGAACTAAAAGACAAAGAAACCATAGGACTACCAGTTACTTTTGTGTTTACTTATAAAATTGATGTAACTGATATCTTTGTAGTCTCTATTAAGTCATACCACTGATGTAACAAATCATCAATACACTTCAAAGTTTTATTGAAATCATCAAAGACAACCTGCATCAACAAATTGCAAAGCAGAAGATTTTAATTTCAATATTATTCCATGTTATTTGCTTTCTAATTGAAAGACTGAAATTGTTATTAATGAAGCTCTTAAATGTTATATTTCTAAGGAAAGGAAACAATTAAACATTTTCGATATAATAACAATTTGGGATTGATTTTGAATAGTTTAATAACAAACATGAAAGCAACACATTTGTGTAATGATACAAACTTGACCCTTATCTCTGAAAAAGATGAATGTTTTCTTGAAGTAATTGCCATTTTATGCTGAATTTGAAAATATCATGCATTTTATGAAAACCAATAATAACCTTTTTTGCGTGTATAATAGGTTACACATTTGAGATATCTTTATGAGGAAAACACAATAAAAGATGATGATGAACGTCCGTTGAC